AACCCCCCCACGTTCCTCCCCCCCCCCCCCCCCCCCCCCCCCCCCCCCAAATCTCAACGACCCTAAACCGCCCCGACCCCCACAGAGCCCACCGAGCCCCCAAGATGCCCCCAAGCAAGGACTCCTCGGACGACATCCAGGAGACAGGGAGACTCTACGAGCACGAGCCCATGCCCATAGGCGACGGCTGCGTCGGCACCGGCCCCACGGCCAAGCTCTACAAGAAGGACTACGTCTGGGGGAACATCTTCAACTTCGCCCTGCTCCATGCTGCGACCCCGTATGGCATCTACATTGGGCTCACTCGAGCCTACTGGTCTACCATCGTGTTCGGTTAGACTCCAATGCCAACCAATGATCCTTGAATACCACAATTTCTTGAAATATCATAATATAATGTAACGGTATCTTATATTACATAATTATCAGGTGTTACCTGTCTTTAAATATTGATATTATTATTATTCGTTTTAGTTCGGTTTCTTCATCCTCATATTATTCTAGTAACATTACGTAATTCATTATTAGGCGATTTAAGGTAATTTAATATTTGTTTATTAATTTTTTTTCATGCAAGTTTTTATTTTCCACATACTTCTTGTTTTCACCCTTTATGTCTAATTTCGATCCTGATTTTAAAAATAATTTAGCTAGTTTTTCTTTTTAATTATCATCCCTTTTGAAAAAATGAATCATTCTCCTTCATGGAGGCTTCCTTTATTTCCTTGTCCTTTTCGAAGCCTTCATGCTCGGTTTAACATCTTCACTCGGAGTGACGGCAGGAGCCCACCGCCTCTGGAGTCACGGGAGCTACAAGGCGAAATTCCCCTTCCGCTTCCTCCTGGCCTTCCTGTTCACGTGTAATATTCAGGTGAGGACCGAACTTCATAATGCCGCGCGAGTGGGCCAACAACAGCGAAGGAATCCCGCTTCCGCCTCAGAATGACATCTACGTGTGGAGTCGGGACCACCGCCTGCACCACAAGTTCAGCGAGACCGACGCCGATCCACACAACGCGAAGAGAGGCTTCTTCTTCGCTCACATGGGATGGCTCTTCGTCAGGAAGCATCCGGAGGTGATGAGGAAGGGCAAGACCATCGACTGCAGCGACCTCCTGGAGGATCCCATCGTCTACTACCAGAGGAAGTCCGTGTGAACTGATACCTCTCAATACTATAAGTACAGCGTATCTTCTTTTGCAAGTGCAGGCTCCGATAACATCGATTCCAATGGGTTGAACTTGATTTGCATATATTCAGCACCAGTTTACGTGACCTACAAAAGCGACGAATGTTTGGCACTTAGATCCCATATGTTTCACCGATAAGGTGTGTGAAGCTTATGTGATTCACATGTTCATGGTTTACATTAGGGAGAGTTGGGTAGTTTAGACAAGCGTGTGAATTAAATCTGAAATGCGTGCAAAGCACATGAGTGCACATGGATAGAATGATCCGAATTCCGCTCGTTGGAGCATTTTGTCTGGGAAGGACATAAAAGGAAAGATTTAACTGTGAACGGTGCATCCAAAATCGCATGCAACATACTTTCGCTTATCCATTGCCGCGGGGCCGTGTGTTCATGCGTGCCGAGTTACATATTGTTTCATATGTCGCACAGGGTGTCTTCTGTCTATTCAGATTCTACGCGCCGCTGGCGCTGTTCTGCTGCTTCGTCTTCCCTGCGGTCACCCCCTGGCTGCTGTGGGGGGAGGACCCGTGGGTGGCCTTCTGGTACTGCTCGGTCGCGAGGTACATCCTCTTCATTCACGGGACGTGGATGGTGAACAGCGCCGCGCACCTCTGGGGCCTCAAGCCGTACGACAAGTGAGTGGAAACCCAAAGCTGTTTGTTGGCTGGAGGAAAGCCGATGGCTGAGGAATTTAAGGGGTACGAATAGAATTCTGGCTAAATCCTCGTTTTCACTATTTCACTACTTATGATAGACTTTCATCGCTGCAAAACTCGTCGATCGAATTGTGTAGGAATGCTGATGATTCCTGAGTTCAAACACTTGGAAGACTTTTGGTTGGATTTTAATCTTTCATCAGTCGAGTGGTTTTTACCCCATTAACAGTCGTGGGGGTTGGATATGAAGTATCTCGCACGACTACTGCAGGATTAAAAATGTGCTATATAAAGGATGAGGAGCTAGGGAAGCCTTTCGCCAACGACTCTCCCTACCAGATTCCTCTTTAAATCTACCATGGATCATGCCAAAATATTGCAAGCAAATTACATGGTGTCTGCGACGTTCGTCAGGTACATCGGACCGGTGGAGCAGCCCATCCTGAGGGTCCTGGCGTTCGGCGAGGGCTCGCACAACTACCACCACACCTTCCCCTGGGACTACAGGACGTCGGAGCTGCCGTGGTCCCACATGAACCTCATGACGATGCTCATCGACGCGGCCGCCTGCGTGGGCCAGGTCTACGACCGCAAGACGGTGGACGTGAAGCTGGTGGAGAAGCGGGTGAGGCGGACCGGCGACGGGACTCACGTCAAGTGGGGGGACGGGACTCACGTCGAGTGGGGGGACGGGACTCACGGCAAGCGGGGCGAGAAGGCCGAACGGTCGTATTCGACAACTGTCGATCCTAAATTCAGCTGCCGAAGCAGATCGGGCACCAGGAAGGAACTATCTATTTTGCATGATGAATATGAATGATGAATTCATGATTCATGTCATTCGTGGTCGATATCATTCATCTCTTAAGGAGACATATCGTGACGATGCATTTCACCATTGTCTGAACAGGTGTGCGCGTGTATATATTTTTCCCCGTTTCTTCAGGGAAGAATCACCTCTTCGTGTCTGCGAACCTCTTCAGGCTCTTCTCATTTGTGGCTTCGCGAAATGATGTATGGCATGATGTACGGCATACCTCAATATGTAATACACTGATAATAACTCCGGGCAGGCGAACTCAAGTGAACCATCCTCCTCCTTCACATCATTCATACTCACACGGGAATGTACATTCATATTCATCATTCACTCCGTCTCTCGACGAACCCCAATCACTTTGTATAACATCTCCCATTCTCTATGCTGAAGAAATATATTTTTTTCTCACTGAATTCCCGGAAAGCGGAAGGAGTTCCCTTCAGCGAAGACAATCGTCATTGAAATGTCACGGCAAATCGGCAGGGCCATTTTCCTCCCAGCCATTTAATCTTACCATTTAATTTAATCTATTTAATCTCTCTAAATTTAATTTAACCTTTTTTCTTCTTCTTTCTGCATTTTGGATCATCGCTCAGCGCCAGAATTCATTTCGCAGATTTAATTCTGTGGTCGAGCAAAGTTTTTTTTTTTTAATTCCAAAATGACCTGTTTGAATGCTTTTTTCCCTGAGTTCTCTGAAGTACTTTTAAGTACTTGACGCATCCGCCTGCTTGCGCGGATCAGTTCACGATTTCTTGGAGCGCAGCACCTAACAGGAACACCTCGCAGTACCAGTACCTGGACCTCGTCCCTAGCTTATGATGATTGAATCCTCCCTAGTAAGTACTTTTGGTAAGTACTATTCAGCACTATCGATAAAATTATCCCGAGTCATTTCCCGCAAAATACGAACCCTTGTGCTGCCGCAAGTCCAAACACACTTCCTCGAGTCGTTTCAGTACTCCCTTGAAAGTAATTTTCAGTACTAGAATTTCTGGATAACTTTCCAGGGAAAGTCGAGTTGCTTGAAAGTGGGAGCTTGGGAATTCCTATAAGAAAGTACTAGTTCTTTCCGGAGCACAACACGACCACTAGAAGAAAAAAAATTAAATGGCAAAATTCAAAAGAAGATGGAGCCATAAATTCTCAACGAAGAGACTTTTGAGCCCGAATTTCCCTTCCTCAGAGTCAGTTTCCTGGCATCCTGAGCCAGTTTTCAGGTTTTCATGATGTTCATGTTTGAATGTTTCATTCATTCTGCCCGCATTGTGTGGCGGCTCCGAGGTAGATTTTCTTTGCACACCAATGCACATTGATCGGATAGGCTCGTGATTAGCAAGCTGTCGAAACGCGTGCTGTTTTTGCAGGAAAGGGTTGTGTGCGACAAAAAAAAGTGATTTAATAATTGCGATAATTCTGGTGACTATGTAAATGAAGGCACGGTTTCCGAAAAGCAATATTGATATCAGTTTGTCTGTTTTCCTCTGCTTGTGTGGTCGCGGGGGGTATGCTGTGTCAAACGGTTCCGAGGGCCTCGCTCGTGTCGATGCGATCGAGTCTGTTGCACTCCTCTCCGGGGCCGGACTCGCCCCGATGGGCCGCCAAGGGCCGCCAAGGCCGCGAAGCCAGCATGGCTCGCGCGGAGCAATGAAGCAATGAAAGCGGGAAGGCGACCCGCCTGCATGCGAGAGGTGGGTCAAGGCCGGAGGAACGAAATGCAGGGGCTAGAGGCCTCGGCGGACAGTTCAGGCAAATATAAGGAGAGTAGTGTTAGCTGTCGCGAGAACTTCGCCCATTAAATTCACGTGAATTCCCTCACCAAATTCCCTCACCAAATTCCCTCACCAAATTCCCTCACCAAACTCCCTCACCAAATTCCCTCACCAAATTCCCTCACCAAATTCCCTCACCAAATTCCCTCACCAAATTCCCTCACCAAATTCCCTCACCAAATTCCCTCACCAAATTCCCTCACCAAATTCCCTCACCAAATTCCCTGTCCGGAGACCATGTCGAGAACAGGAATGATGCCAGTTGGACTCAGTTTCCTTTTACTCATCGCCGCAGCAACCTCCAAGACGTTCACGAGGTGTGAACTCGCTCAGAAGTTGCTGGCGCTGGACTTTCCTCGGTCCCAGCTCGGGGATTGTGAGTTTCGTGGCTGGGTTTTATTAAGAGGGTGCGGCGCTGGATCGATTTGGGTTAACCGATTTTGGTGTTTTTGTTTCCCCTTGGATTAGGGTTTTATGGATGAACGATTCGGTCTTAAATTCAATTTAAAATGTAAAAATTGGAAAAGAAAATTGGAAAATGGGTGGGGTAGACTGAGGGTAGACTTGCAGTGCATCGGAATTAAGGTAGGTGGAGAAGTCGAGTCCGAAAGGCACTCAGTGAATAACGTGAAAGAATGCCAATTAGTACAGATTCGGCGAATTTGGAGGAATTGCACGGTTTCGCTACCCACGACAGGGGTGTGCCTGGCGGAGAACGAGAGCACCCTGGACACCTCCGCCCGGGGCCCCGCGAACTCGGACGGCTCCCGCGACTACGGGATCTTCCAGATCAACGACAGGTACTGGTGCGGCCAGGAGGCTGGGGGAGGATGCGGGCTCGAGTGCAAGGGTAAGTGCGGATTGCTCGGTGGCGAGCGATTCCCCTTTATTGGAATGGGAATTATTTTGAATGGACTCTGGGTACATCGGTGGGTGATGGGAAGCGGGGAGACAGGAGGGAAGAGGTAGAGGGAAGGAGGCATCTGACGAATCCATGAAATAATTCCAGAGCTTCATTTTCACCTCGAACTAGACGGTAGCGACTTGAACGGTAGTCTCGCATTCCATAAGGTTCCGGATTCCGAATACAGATTGTTATCGCAGGTTGTTCCCTTGTTAGCGTCTCACAGTCCCGAAATTCCCAGTGACGATTTCGATCGATTTGAACGTGCACACGCTCCGACTTCGTCCCCGCGCAGCGCTGCTGGACGACGACATCTCGGACGACGCGACCTGCGCGAAGACCGTCTTCGCCGAGTTCCTCAAGTTCAAGGGCGACGGCTTCCTCGCCTGGGAGGCCTGGAAGGCCAAGTGCAGGGATCGGGATGTCTCCGCGTACCTCAAGGGATGCGGTCTCATAGGCGGGGATGCCGGATGGGGATTCTCGGAATAAAGCTCATGCAAATGTGAAGATCGACTGCGTTTTTCATTCTCGTGGCTAATGCTGCCCCGATATCAGTCATGCTTTTAACTTCTATTTTCAATTTCGACCAAAGCGTGAGAGTTACCCTTGGTGGCAGCTCTTAGTTCATATCAGCCACGAAAAGAATCGCAGCGGAATGACGTCCCCTTCAGAAGCCGCACGAGAAACAGCCGAACCGCTTTCGGCTTTCCGTGCTCTCTGCACGGGAATCGCCTTCACGGGCGCAATACATGGTCTAATTTTTCCGCAAACGCAACGGCCCCTTCCCATGGAATGCGAATTCCGGTTTCCACGTGACGTCGCAGCGTCGAACGAGAAAGCTTTCACGAATTTCCACGAATTTGGAACGTGTAGATCGCCTAAATGAGATTCCCCAACGATACAAAAATCAGGCAGAAATTCACTTAAGAAATTATTCCTTAGAGTTCCGATAATTCTTTAAAATGAAGTGAGCCCAAAACATTAACCAGACCTTGGAAAGGATCACCTTGAAGCGATGGTACCACGATGGCCAAAGAGAAACTGCGATCATTTTTGCGAATGTGCATATCCTACCAAACGTGGACGGGTGAAAGGCTTCAAGACGAAATTTGCTAACGAATATGAAACGTAATTTTGACCCAAAGACCAGAAACTCCCACTCCCAACACCTCGTCTGCTTCTTGCAAATTAGAGTTTTTGTGCTTCAGGAATCCAATCAGATCGAAGAAATTCAAGTTGAAGAAGAATTTGCATCGATCACCTCCCTTCCGTTTTTCTCGCAATCCGCTACGAATGGCGTCCGAGGAGACCATCGCTACCAATGCGACATCTAGCGAGTGATAGACTAAACTCTTAAACTCTCCTTGTTTCTAGCCGTTTTTAAGTCTGATTTTTTCTTCACCACTTTCCAGAGAATGTTTTCAACTACAGTGAATAACTTTCTATTTTGCTCATTTTAAACGTCCATTATTTTGGAAAATATAAATATTAATATTTGTGAGAAAAAGTCATCGGTTCTTGAAACAAGAGCGGACAGTTCCATACCCTAATTTTTCATCAAGTCTCAACGATTTTCTAAGGACACAAATTTTCCTGAGAATTCCTCGATCACCGAGAAAAATTCCGGGCATGATTCAATTTCCGATCCGGAATCGCTGCACCCTCCTGTCGTCATTACACGAGAGATATACGAGAAATGTCAGAAGTAAGGCGGGTGACGTCGGAACGGTTTGTCATGTGGAAATCGGCAAAGTCTCTTACACGAATTACAAGCACCCTTTGCATGACCTTCCCTGCCAGAGAAGAGCACAGGCGCTTTCCACAAATTAATTAAGAAAATGTAATATGGTGTTACGGATGGAATGAATTCGCAGTCACATGTACAATTTATAAGACGCAATTGCAACGTAGGAGCCGTCGATTCGCATCGTTTCCACCCCAAGCCTTATCATCCTGCACTTGAGAGATTAGTCACCTGGGGAATCCAATTAAGAATGTGAGACTGAATTTGGTAACGAAGAAAGATCTTCTTCTTCTTGTCGATTCTTCCCCTCGATCGGCTCCGAAATGCATCCGAGGAATCCGTTACTACTTCAGAGACATCTATGGAGGGCTTGGCAAGACTCGAGACCGTACTTCATGCCAGATCCGTTTGAGGAATATTTCTCCGCTGTCCATGGCTAAACATCCACTTCCCGAAGGCAGTTCCCATTTGACAACCGGCCATCCTTCCTCGATCGGTCGGATTTGATTGCATCGGAGAATTGTGGCAATTTCCTTCCCAATTATTTGATTTCTCGACTGCACACGACGAAGCTAGTCACCAACAGCGACAATCTCAGTCCATTTTATGTACGTTATACCTTGAGGTTCAGCAAAACCAATTCGACGCCTTGCCGATGGCGTTCGACGTCCTCGCCGCACGATCAGTGCTCGATGCAAGGGAAACGTATTGTTATCCGTTCGGTAATATTTGAGGGTAAATCATTTTTTTTCGACGAAGAAAACGAAAAACTG